CCGCGCCCTGCCGACCTCTCCCAGGCTGGCTGCCCCCCGCCGTGGCATGGCTCCTAGCCGGGTGGGTGCGTGCTGCCCCGCGCCCAGGGGCTCGTCGGGAGCTGCTGGGCACAGTGCACCTCTTTCGACGAGCGCCCGTGCCTCCTGCTTTGCGCCGCGCCGGATGGATCCCGTCGCTTGACAGCCGCGCACGACACTGCGAGATGCAGTCACAACCTCTCCTGCATCAGCCTGTCGCTCCCTGATTTCTCTCCAATTTTCAGTGCTCCTCTTAACCTACCTGAAAAGGGATGCTGTGAGGCTTAATTACGTTTAATGTCTGTGCAGCACTTAAGAAGACGAGAGGCGTTATGTGTGTGCTGAGTATTGTGATTATGGTTCAGAGGTATGTGGGGCTGTGCATTAATTCTCTTTGCTATGGGAGAAAAAATATATAAAATAAAACCCTGGCTCCTGGTGGCCTTTGCGATGCTTGGCTCCCAGTTTCAGGGCTATAATGGAGATGCACCTTCCATCTAGATAATTAAAGGGTGAGGTGGGGAGAAAGGGGAAGACCCTCTCACAGGCAGAAGTTAGTGCATAATCAAAATGAGCTAAATTCTGTTAGCACAGGATGATGAGAGAGGACACGGTCCCGCTCCCCGCTGCGTGCAGAACAGCTCAAAGCTCCCACTCTCGGTGGTGTCGGCACTGCGCTGTCTGGCTCTTCTCTGGAGCTGCCCCGTGTTGGGCTCCCATCACCAGAGTGGGTGTCCCGGGGGTAAAATGTCCCCTGGCAGCAGGAGAGGGTTGGGTGGCGGAGGGGGTGCAGGCACGGTGTGCTGGGGCATCCTCTCTGCCTCATCCTCAGGGTCTAGAGAGCTGCTCCTATGTTTTTCCCTATATTTTTCCTTATGTCCTGCCTTACGCCTGCTGCGGCGAAGGCTCCTCTGCATCCTGAACAGGGCAACGCCAACCTGCGCTCATCCCTCAGCTTTATTTGTTTGGGATTTTTTCTCTGTGCCCTGAGGACCCAGATTGATTAAGCGTCAAAGAAAAGTCCCAGGAAGACAGAATATCCTCTTTAATCCCTACATCCATTTTTGGGAGATTAAGAAAAGAACCGAGGTCTGAACTGCTGCCTGGATGCTGATGTGCTAAAAGTGATCGATGACTTTGGCTTCATTCATTTTTCCAGGGTAAGAGGCATAATGTGCGCGGAGGGGGAGGAATCGCTGCAGGGAACGGGATAATTGGCACAGGAGGTTGCTCTGCCTCTGCGTGTGTTCCCGACACCAGGCTTGTGTGTCTGCGCCCGCAGAAGAGAAAAGGCAGTGTCACAGCAGCAACGCTGCCAACTACAGCGACAGCAGCCCCGAGACAGCGCTCAACATGTGCGAGCGAGTTGGGGGGGGAAAGCAGCCGATGTATTTACACACACCGACGGCAGCGGTGTCAGGGAGGTTTGATGCCTTAAAGCACGGAGCGGTGCAGGGTGCATGGCCCCGGTGCTCGGGGGATGCCAGGCTCGCTGTCCCTGTGCCCAGAGCCCCTCACCGAGGAGCAGCGAGTCCCCTGGGATAGATGCGCCCTTGGGTGCCTGCAGAAGGCAGGAGAAACGTGGAGAAGGAGAGCTGGGACTTTCCAGCCTCTTGGCAGGAGGCGTTTCAATCAATCCCAGCCCTCCTACACATGCCTGAGAGGGTTGGGCATGTCTTTTTCTTCTTCTTCCCTCTTTCGATTTAAAAATGAACACTTTGAAAGCCGTGGAGGAGTTGGCGTTCATGCACAGCGTTAGCAGAAAGAGAAAAGCTCTGGAGACGGCACAGCCGGGAGCGCACCGAGCGAGCAGAGGGCACGGGCTCCTGCTCCAGCTTTGGGGCACCTCCAAAAGGGGGGACCAGACTTGTCCCCCTTCCTTCTTCAGCCTCTGTGGCACATGCTTGTGTCTTCCCCTGCATCAAATCCAGCGACCGTGTGACTCTACAGGGAGCCAGATCGGTGTGCCGAGCCACACAAAACCTAGTCATTATGTACATACACATATATTTAGATGCATGTATATATGTATATTTTAAGGGGTTTTGCACGCTTGGCAACAGCCACAGTTCAGTTAGGTTAGGCATATTGCAAAGTGTAAAAGGGGGCTGGAGAAAAAAAAAAGAAAGAAAAAAGAAAAAGAAATGTAAGTGATGCTGAGAGTGTCTGAAAATGCCCCGGCGATGGCGGGTGCCCCTGTCTGCGCTGCTGTGGGGAGGGCTGCTGGACACGGGGTGGGTGGCACCACACCACGTCCACGGGCTGTAGGAACAAGCGGGGAGCTCACACCGTGGGGAGCGGTGCAGGCAGCCCGGGTAAGCGTGTAGGGGTATGTCTGTGGGGTGCACCTTGTCCCCTGCGGGGCCATGTGTGCCCACCAGCGCGCGATGGCGATGCCACCGCACCAGCTCCTCTCTACCCGCTCTGCTCCCGGCCTCGCCTGGCTCTCGGTGCTAAATGTGATTACTTTGAAACGTGATTTGCCCTGTCACTCACCAATTAACGAGGACAGAAAGCCAGAAAAGACACAAGCTGTTCCCTCTCGCTCTGCCACCTCCAGCAATGAGCCCTTCAAAGCCCTTTTGTCGGGGCGGTGGTGGGGAGGGGGCCGGGGAGATGGCACGAGCCCCGTGTCGGTCGGACCCCCGGGGTGATGCTGCGCCTGTGCTCCATAACCCTTCGCGGGACGTTGAGAGACTGTTAACAAACCCCATTGAGGTGCAGCGGTGAGCCGACAGGCGCGGGGGTCTGGCAGTGATGGACCCCCAGTAAACACCCGGGCAGTGTGAGCCAAAGCCAAGGGATCAGAGCTGAACGCATGGATGCACTCACTCTCATTTTTTGCAGAAACAGAGGGGAAAAAATGAATGGCATCCCACATTCACCGCAGTCGTGCCTACCCTGCGATCGCACGTGGGAGAGCGACTCTCCCCATCGCCTCCTTTCTGAATGGGCTGCAGGAATTTAATCTTATCTCCTCACAGCATGGTTTCTTTGAAGCCTTTCCCGCTTCCTCGCAAGATTTTCACAGGCAGAAGCTTTCTCTCTGCCTTCCCCAGACAGGTCATCTCAGCAAGAGCCTTCGCTTCCTTCCAGGCTTCACCGTGTTACTCCTTCCCTGCCGATCCTGTTCTTCTCCCCTCGGTATGTGAAAGCTTCCTTCTCCCCTGCACTCTCTCGCCTACTCTTTTTCCCTCTTGAATTATTATTCATCATTTCTGTGCAGATGCACCCACACATTTGGGTGTTTGTTGGGAGATGCGGAGATAACACAGAAGAAACAGCAGCTGCCAAGAGCCGGGATCCAGGAGCAGCCTCTT